TTTTTGTTATTATTGTTAATCTAATATTTTGATACTGTTCTTGTTGTTCTTTATAGTAATAGTAACAATTATTATTAATACTGTTTTTATTGTTATTATTGAGGTTGGTTTAACAGTTACTATGACTACTATTTATGTTGTCATTAATATAATTTAATTATAATTATTGTTGTTTATATTATATTGCATTCTCATTATTATTTGATTATCTATTTTTATTCTGTTAGTTATCATCATCATTGTCATTATTTTCATAATCAGTATTAATATTATTGTTTTCAGTTTAGTCATAATTTCTTGTGTATTATTTATTAAACTCAAGAATGATCACTTACATTGCCATTGAGCAGTAAGAATGGTAGTGATAAAACTGTAATCATAATGTTATTAATTTTCATGATAATTACATCAGCAGATAACAATAGTAATAGAATAAGAATGATCGTTGTTAACTTTTATCTCACCATCACCTTAGTCATAATTGTTTTTGAGTTGCATGTTACCACAGTCTCTCAAATTACATAACTATTATCTTTTATCACATGTCATTTGTAGTTACTAAAATCATTATAGTAGTTTGTCTTCTCAATGGTGCTGTGAATTTGAGCACTGATCAGACACTTTCCTCTCACTCCATTTCAGCACAATGGCCAGGCCACCGCGGGGGAGCGACCTCGTGTCAGTGTTGCGTGGGCTGTCCCGTGTTGGCTCAGCAGTGGTGGATGTGAGGTCGCAAGAGGTCACCAAGGCATGGGCTACCTCCTCCTTACGACCTCTGATCGTGCAGGGGTCGGCCAACCTCCAGGATGCTATCTCCAGGGCCATTCAGCAGCCACAAGTTGTTCAGGTAATTATTGTGCAGGAATTTGAGGGGTTGGGAAAGGGTGGGAGTTGAGGTGGAGCAAAATGAGGAGGGAGAGGAGGAAGAGAAGGAGAGGGGAGAGAAGGGAGGGAAAGGAAAAGAGAAGGGAAGGGTGGGAGAGTAGGGAGAGGGGAGAGAGGGATGGGAGTGGAAATAGATGAGAAGGTGGAGGAGGAGGAGGAGGGAGGGAGGAGAATGGAAGAGACAGAAGGGAGTAAAAGTAGTAATTTAATAATCACATCAGTAAAAGGTGTAGGAAAAAAACGAGTAGAAGAAAGTTAAGGAGAAGAAAACATCCAATGATGATATGGGCAAAATCAATAGGATGGTTATGTTGATACTGTTACTTAATCTACAAAGAGGAGGAAATTTAGAAATTACTACTGTAATTAGACACAGCATGTCTGTTTCCATGCAGTTACTCCATTAGCTCAGCATGCAGTCTTTTATAACTTGTGCAGTCTTGGCAAGCCACCTCCTGAAGTTGTTGCCAAAAGTTATGATGCTGTCATAGCTAAACCTCCCAGATACTTTCGTCCCTATACTTACCCAGAGACTCTCAGTGATTTTAAGTTGTTCCCTGTGATTGTGACTGGAAAATGTGCAGTTTAGAAGCCAGATATTTTACATACATATTTCGCTGGTGTTAGATGTACTTGATATTTTTGTGCAATTTCTAATTTTAATATTTTATCTTGATATTGAAATTTTGTAAAAGAGACAATGGGTAATAGTCTTGTGACTGATTGGGTTGAGGGAGAATTAGAAGATGGGTTGGTAAGTAACATCAGTTATTTATTTTTTCCAGCTTATAATGTTTGTTTGCTTCTTTTGGGTTAAAGTGCAGTAGGAGGGGTAAGGCATTACTTAAAATAGAAAATTGATACCTCTCACTCAGGTGTGGTGCTGAGGCTTGTAATTTGTGGTACAAATGCAGATAGAATTTTCATGGATTTCTGTTCCAAATCTTAGATTAAGAGTATATATAAACAAAGAATATAAATCCCACATCCTTGTTTTCACTTCTTTTTCTCTCCATCTGTTTTTAAATTCAGAGCATTTCTTATTTAAATGTCCCTTTATTTAGAAAATTGGGTTAAAGTCTGTCAGAACAAATAATTATAAGAATATGATTATAAGTGCTTTTTAATGAGATGTTAGTTTTTGTATGCATTCCATTTTTTAAAACTGACTTTTACATTAATTTCCCTCTGTCTTTCTTTTTCCTCTTTCTTCTTTAGCTACAGAAGTGTATTGTATAAATTTATATATATCATTTTTCCTCTATTTTCAGACTGAAGCATCAAAGGGTGTGTCAGAGGCACTTGCCCGCATCTCAATGGTGGGAGAAGGCATCAGAGCATACAGGAGTGGTGCAGTTCCAGCTGCAGCAGGTAGGATAGGCACATGATCATGAATTCATTTATTATACAGTACTAGTATTGTGTTCATGGCGTTCACTATTTATACATAGGCAGAACTTCAATCTCATTTCTTGGAATATTTTGTAATTAACAACAGGATCTAACTCTTGAATGGTAAGTGGAGTCTTTAACAAGAAATGTATAAGCAGTGTCAGTAACCATTTTGAAATTTACTGTTATTTACAGACCTTTCAAGCCAAGTGGAAACTGCAATTGACCCGATGTATGATCCAGAAGTGCAGGAGCTGAACATTGAGGAGATCATGATGCAGGAAGCTTGGATGGGCCACGAGGAGCACAAGATTCCCGAACACACAGTTGTAGACAAGCAGATGAATGAGGCCATTGTGGGTGCCAGGAACATCAGAGATTCAGTAATGGAAAATGCAAAAGAGGCCAAAAGTAGCATGCAGAGAAGGATGGAAGAATTTGAGCCCCTACTCGATGTGTCTAAAGTGGAGGAGAGGGAGATTACAGACGACCAACTCCAAGCTCTGCAGGAAAAGCTGGATGAGCTGAAAGGGGCTTCCTTCGGACAAAATATGAAAATGTTGAGTGATATACAGGAGCATTCCAGACCCATGGAAGAAGTATTACAGGAAATTATAAAAGATCAAACAGGTCTTCAAGACACGGTGCTACAGGAAGTTGCAACTGAACAAACAGCTGTCAAGGAAGAACTAGTACAGGAAGTTATTCCAGAACAGACAGCTGTCAAGGAAGAACTAGTACAGGAAGTTATTCCAGAACAGACAGCTGTCAAGGAAGAACTAGTACAGGAAGTTATTCCAGAACAGACAGCTGTCAAGGAAGAACTAAGACTTGAAGTTGCAACTGAACAAACAGCTGTCAAGGAAGAATTAATACAGGAAGTTATACCAGAACAGACAGCTGTCAAGGAAGAACTAGTACAGGAACTTAAATCTGAACAGACAGCTGTCAAGGAAGAACTAAGACAGGAAGTTATACCAGAACAGACAGCTGTCAAGGAAGAACTAAGACAGGAAGTTATATCTGAACAGACAGCTGTCAAGGAAGAACTAATACAGGAAGCTATATCTGAACAGACAGCTGTCAAGGAAGAACTAATACAGGAACTTAAATCTGAACAGACAGTTGTCAAGGAAGAAATAAAGCAGGAAGTTATACTTGATCAGACAGCTGTCAAGGAAGTTGTACCTGAACAGGCAGCTGTCAAGGAAGTTGTACCTGAACAGGCAGCTGTCAAGGGAGAAGTGGTACAGGAAGTTGTGCCTGAACAGGCAGCTGTCAAGGATCTCAAGGACGAAGTAAAGCAGGAAATTATACCTGAACAGGCAGCTGTCAAGGGAGAAGTGGTACAGGAAGTTGTCACTGAGCATGCAGGCCTCAAAGAAGAAGTATTGGCAAAACCAAGTACTTCTGAAGTTATGGATGAAGCACTCAGCCCATCAGAGGAAATAGTGTCAGTAAAGAAAGAAGTAGAGAAGGAACTGGACAGCACTTTAGCCCAGGTAGCCAAGACCATTAACCTTGAAGAAGCTAGTACCTCTACTGTTCGTGATTTTGATGTTGAGCTTCAGGCAGAGCCAGCCATTTGCAAAGATGAAGCAGAAAAGGTTGTAATCAAAGCATCTCCAGAATCCAGTGGCACAAATGTTGATGCATCTTCAGCAGTGGAAGATTTCATAGTACCTAGTACTGTTGGGTCTGGACCTGCAGCTGCAGCTAGTATTTCAGGAGCAGCTGTTGCTTCAGCTAGTATGGCTGCTGCATCAACAGCAGCAGCAGCTGCAACAGTAGCTGCATCTGTATCTGCAGTTGCCACTCAGTCTGTAGCTTTAGAAGAAAAAGCCAAGCCAGCAGCACCAAAGCCGAAGCTCCTGGGAAGAAAACCCTTAGCTAAAGACAAACCCAAATCAACTGTAAGTAGATACATATTTGAACACAGTTTGTTAATATTTTTTTTATTCAGACCATATTTTCTCTTGACATTTATTTAAACCATAGGTGTGCTTTCTGTTGTTTCATTATCATAAATACTAAACATTAATTACTGCTTTTGATGTTAAGGCAAACACTACATGTTTATGAGAACTAGTTTGAAAGCTTATTCATTAACACCATGGTATTCCTCCCCAGCTGGCATCCAATGCTCAGGCACGCAAGGTTCCCCACTCCCGCATTGGACGACTAATGAGCTTTGGCGGCCTTGCTGCAGGCCTGGGGGCAGGAACTTTAGCAGAATTGACCCGCAGGTCCTTAGGCATGAACGAGGGGAAAGGCAGTGGGTCCCTTCTTGATGCCTCACCATTTTTGACTGAAGCCAATGCAAAGAGAATTGTTGATACTCTCTGCAGAGTTAGAGGTATGTTGATGAGTTATATATAAGACAAATGATTATTATCCTAGTTTATTTTTAAAAGTAAAAAGTGAAATACATAATATGCCAAAATGGATGCCACTGGAATTCAAACTTCATCATGCTTTGGATGGTGGTGAGAAGGACGAGTTGCCTCAAATGAGGAGAAAAGACTAGTATTCATATCACTTGTTTGTGAATATATCTACTGTTAATGGATATACTGGTATTTTGTATCTGATAAGTAACCAACACCCTTTGCAGGAGCTGCCCTGAAACTTGGTCAGATGCTTAGTATCCAAGACAATGCCCTCATCAACCCTCAGCTCCAGAAGATATTTGAGCGAGTGCGACAGTCTGCAGACTTCATGCCTGCCTGGCAGTTAGAGGCAAGTTGAATGGAATTGTAGATGTATAATAATGGTTGTTGAGTGCAGATTTGTATTCAAACTAAATTAAAAATAGGTATAATTTTCTTTCCTCTGGAGAGCATAGTTTTGTTAGTTCTTCATCACTTTTTAGTAGCCTGATTGTGTAAATAAACACAAAGTGTATGGTTAGTGTATGTGTTAGTATTATCATACTGAAATCTAGATTTACAGTTTTTATCATATTTCTGTGATTTCTTGTGGTGTTACTAAATGAAATTTTCTTCCCCAGAATGCCCTTGTGGACCAGTTTGGGCCAGACTGGCGATCGTTAGTAACAACATTTGATGAACGTCCTTTTGCTGCAGCATCCATTGGCCAGGTACATCTGGCAACACTCCCAGATGGTCGGTCTGTTGCCATGAAAATTCAGTACCCAGGAGTAGCAGAAGGCATAGACAGTGATATCAACAACCTCATAGGAACACTAAAGATTGCAAACATTCTCCCAGAAGGTGACAACCATGGATGGTTCTTAAAAATATAAGTGCACTATTTAGAAATCTAGGCATTCCTTGGTATATGCTAAGTGACTGTAAATGAAAATTTCAGAAAACAATTTTTTGTGATTTTCAAAGTACAAATGAACACCATACAGTAAAAGATGTATATTGTATATGAATCAGTTTAATTATTTCATATCATTAGGATGTGGATATATTATTTATCTAGTAATTGTTTATTTTGACATAGGTATTGACTTTTTTTTTTCTTCTTTAGGTCTGTATGTTGATTCTGTCATCGAGGTAGCCAAAAAGGAATTGAACTGGGAATGCGACTACATACGAGAAGCTGAGTGTACTACAAGATTTAGGGATCTTGTTAAACCCTATCCAGAGTATTATGTTCCTGAAGTCATTAGTCAACTGTGTACAAAACAAGTAGGTTCAGGGTTCTTCATGCATTTCATGTTCACATTGCTGATATGACTAGTAATAGTAATAATTCCAGTGAAAGGTTATGTGCTGAACCACACCTTGATAATTCATTCTTCCATTATTTTTGAAAAATGAACAATTTTTTAGTGAATGCCTTGTGGGCCACTACTACTACAGCATATCCACTTTTACCAAATCTTATTGAAGTAATAAACATTTTTAAACCTAAAAACTAACAAATGATTTAATTCTGAGTTGTAGTATTGACAAGTAAATTATTTGCTATTTTCTCTTTTCATCCCCTGAGTAGTTCTTATTTTTACAATTCAGGTGACCTTCACAAGCTCTTGTAAAAATCTTACTAATCAGGAATTTCTTTTTTTTCCTTGCAGGTATTTAGCTCAGAGTTAATTGATGGCGTACCAGTAGATAAGTGTATTGAAATGGACCAGGAAACTAGAAATTATATATGCGAAAAGATTCTACGTCTCTGCCTCTTGGAATTATTCAAATTTGGCTTCATGCAAACAGATCCCAATTGGTCAAACTTCTTCTATAATGCAGAGACTGAACAGGTATACATTATTACTTAAACTTTATGATTTTGTTAAAACTTTGTTTCTCTTCATGATGAGCTCTTTGTTCATTACTTCATTCAAAATCATTATTTTGGACTGTTTGTTACATAACAAATATTCTGATATATGACTTTAATAAACTTTTAAACATTCCATTTTGTTGACACTTTCTTGCATTACATAATGAATTCTATTAATGATTTAATATTTTTAATTACCAGCTTGCTCTGTTGGACTTCGGGGCATGTAGATCCTACGAGAAATCATTTGTTGACAAGTACATTCAGATCATCCATGGTGCGGCAACATATAACAGAGAAAAAATATATGAGTATTCCAAACAGCTTGGATTCTTGACAGGCCACGAAGCGAAGGCAAGTAAAAATGTATTTCCTTGATGTTTTGAATGTACATCAAAATTCTGTAGCATTTTAGAATACCTCAGATAGGCATTTGTTGACTCCCTTTCATGCCATTGACTTGTTTTGTGTACCAATTACATCATCTTTTTAACCTGCATATTCTCCTACAGGTCATGATTGATGCACACATAGACGCTGTGATGATCTTAGGCGAAGCTTTCCAGGAGGATAAGTTATTCCACTTTGGAGCTCAAGACACCACCTACAGAATCCAACACCTTGTCCCAGTCATGCTCTCCCACCGCATGTGCGCTCCCCCCGAGGAATCCTACTCCCTACACCGCAAGATGTCTGGGGTATTTTTGTTGTGTGCCAGATTGAATGGCCAGGTTAACTGTAAGCCGCTGTTTGAGGAGGCATTTGACGGTTATAAGTATGGAGGAACATGGGAGGATTTTCATGCAGGGAGATTGTAATAACCTAACTTTGCTAGTTGACTTCATTTTTTTTAGACCCTCCAACTTTACTATACTATGGGATTAATTAAAATGAAAAGAGCAAAATGGAACCTTCATATGCATTTGTTTCATGATTATATGTAAAGCATCTATACATTTTGCATAATTTTTATCATTATTCACCTGAATGTCACACCTTAAAATTCAATGTATATGTTGATATAGTAATGATGTTTGCTTATAACAAAGAAAGTGAAAAAAATATATGACTGTTCCATGTAGTACCATTTGTTTCACGTAGCCCCATGGTATGGTATATAGATATATATTTTGCTAATACCTGTGATTTTCTTTTTTAAATAACATTATTAAGAAAGTGGAAGTATATTTTGTCAGGGAATAATTGTAAATAGTTCACTAGTCTATTTTACCAATTACTGTTACCGTGATACCAACAAAACATCTTGTAGGTTTCCTATTGGTACTGGCCCTGATTTTTTTTTCTTCTTCTTTTTTTCATTTAATGTTGCAAAGGTACTGTGCCCAGCTGACAATCATGCTGACCTGAGGCCAAAGCCTGCAATGGCAGTTGTTAGCAGCCCTGACTATTCCTTGCACATAGGATGATTAAAAGCAGCACAATAACAGAAGTCACAAGAACTATGACCCCAAACCCAATGTATTAATAATTATCATCATTTTCATCATCATCATCATTATTTTAGCTTTGAAAAAGCCTTTGTAGAGTTATGCTGTATAATTTTGAGGTTGTGTACAATTGTTTATTTAATTTGTTTCATGACTTATGTATAAAAGTATCCTAATGTTCATGTACTGTACCTTGATTGAGAAGGTTTTTGTATGATTTTCATATGTAATTATGGAAAATGTATAATAAGACAAAATATTGTAAAGGCATTTTATGTAAATTACATATGTACATAGAGAACTTTTGTAATAAACAGACTATATGAACTGAATTTTACTCATTATACAAAAGAAACAGATATATATAAATAAATCATATGAAGCGAGTAGCTATTGCTAGAATCTTAGTATAATCAGCACCCTTGGGTCGAGACATATCTGTGAGTTTTTTGCGGAGCATTGTTGGAATTGGAACATGTATTCTGTTTCCAAGTGGCATGCCATTGTCTTCAATTAAGACCAAGTTATTTGTGTCAAACTTGGGCATCAAAGGCTTCTGATTCTGGTGACAGCCAACAAGAATGCCTCGTTTTTTCTGTCCCTTGATGGCAACCAGTACTTTGTCTCCTGCAAAGGAAAACAGAACCATTTAGAGGTGAAGGCCCAGCATCAAATTTATATCAAACAAAAGTACATGGGGCTCATCTGTTTCAAATACAGAAATTTCAACTAAACAAAAAATCAGGAGTCTTCAGAGTCTTGAGTTTATATCTGAATCAAAATATATGTATCAATACTGATATTGTACTGGCCAATTTAATCCTCCAAATAACAAGCTTTTAGCTTACAAGACCTTATATGTGGACACTGATATTCATAATTACTTGATCATATTAACTGTGAAGGAGCTATCCTTGGGAGGAAGGTAATCAATGTTGTCTTACATACTGTTGGAATAAGCTGAGCATTCTTTAGTTTAATCTCAGTTTGAAACAAAATTACCTACATAAAAGCCTAGCGGGTGACCATACTTCCCTTGATGGTAAACAAGGTGGTAGCTCACGACAGACTCAAATTAATTTTCTATTATATGATGAAAAATAAAGGGGAAAATTCAAATTTAGCATGTGCTTGTTTGATTACTTTAAAAAACAAGGACTGAACAGATATGCTTCATGTGGATATAGAATTACTGTCTTGGATACTAATTCCAACCTTTATCAAAATTAAGTTACTAAAATATGAAATGGTACATATAATTTTCCAATTGTGTAGAGCTGTTGTATTTAACTTTTAATAATTTAATTGCCTCACAAATATCTTTCATTTCTTTCTTAGGGGATATATGCTTAAATAGAACTTGGACAGGCACATTTTATTTTGACTTATAATTTATATTTTAACCACATATCTGAACTGAAATAGACTGTAAAAAAAATATTAAACTTGAAACTAATATGGTGAAATTTAAATACATATTCCTATAAGAACAGCCACATACCTGTATGTCCAACTCCCGTTTTGTTATATACATGAATACACCTGGGGGGTCGACCTTCCAACATGGCAGCCTTCCCTAGCTTACTGTTGTCAACAACACGTAATCTTGTCATCTTCTGAATGTGCTCTAATGGTGCTGAGGTGTGGAGACCAGCTGTCTGGGAGCACTGCCCCAGAAATTTTCTCAAAGGCACATTCATCCTCAATCTGGAAATTGAGGTTTCGTTTTATTAAGAAAGAAGGAAAGAATAAAGAAGGAAAGAAAAATGGAACAAAAAAATGTGTCAGTCCTTGCAAATCAATGACTTCTCAAAAATGTTTCATATCATCTAGCCCTTGTTCATTATTGTCTTAACAGTTATCCTCTTACGTATAGGAACATTCAGAGCTTTGTGAGTACAGATAAAATCTTAAATTAACCCACTGCCGCCGGGGAAAATTAATTAAAAATAGGGAAAATGCTGTCCTCATTTTTTATATCTTTTTGTGAAATGTTTCTACACATAGATGGCTCTGCTTTACCTCATTTCACCTTCCCTTGAAAATTCCTGGAAAATGTATTTTTTACTAGTGCTATGAATTTTGATGTATTTTCATTATAAACACTAATAATTACTATAATGTCATAAACATTAGTAATAGCATAATAAGATAACGTATATTATTTTCGAAAATTAAAGAAAAGGGTGAATGGGTGAGACAGGCAGTACTCGTAATTGGCTTACTGGTGATTTAGTACAAGTGTAGCCATCTATGTGTAAAAACAATCAAATAAGTAAACTCACAGTGGGTTTGGCATGCCATACCCGTCAGCAATGGGTTAAAAGAATTTGCACGTAAAGTAACTTGTCATTTACCATATCCCACACACCTGAATATTAAAATGCCATGTAAAGCTTACCCATTTTTTCGTAAAATACAGCAGCCTCAAATCACTATTAAACAGGTGGAAACCAATAATAGTAAAATTACTTCTGCCACAATCCATTATTAGTATGGTTATACCTAATTACAATAATGGCCATATATTGTTATTGAAGAAGTACATGGTAATACTATTAATGCCAGAATTATCACAAGTAAATATATAGCCTAGAGAAGAGCACACAGATGAAAGCTGAAAATTTCAAACCTTTTTATTTCTAAGTCTTTTCAAAAGCTAAACTTCTAAATTTCTTAGACTCTGATAGTAAAAAGAAAGAAAGAGAGAAAGAAAGAAAGAAAAATACTCTCCATCTAACTCTCTTCAAGTGTTTTTTTTCACCTTCTCTTCTCATTTTTAAGTGTAAATAGGAAGATGCATTAGAAACTGTAACACATAGACTATATACTTTCCTTATTTCCCAATCTCTTCTTATGTAATAAGAAAAAAAAAAAGTTTAGTATTCTAACATTATCATATTAACCCAATGCCACTGGGAAAATGGTGTGTGTGTGTGTGTGTGTGTGTGTGTGTGTGTGTGTGTGTGTGTGTGTGTGTGTGTGTGTGTGTGTGTGTGTGTGTGTGTGTGTGTGTGTGTGTGTGTGAAATGTCTCTGCATATAGATTGCTCTACTAGTGCTTAGCCACAAAGGAGTCAACAGAGGACCTTGTCACCTCTCCCTGAAGAGGCAGGAAAAATATTTTTACTAATGCTATGAATATCAATGGTGTAATTTTTATTATAGACATTATAATCACTATAATGTTATGTACATTAGTAACAGCAATATCAGATAACATAAAATATTTTTGAAAATCAAGGAAAAGGGTAAACAGGTGAGACAGGCAGTACTCATAACTGGCTCATTGGTGACTTAGTACAAGTGTAGCCATCTATGTGTAAAAACAATTAATAATATAAACTCTCAGTAGGCATGGCATGTATGTACATACCATACCCACTGGCTTTGGATTAAGGAACAGGCACCAATACACAAACAAGTGCTCTAAATCTCTATGAAGTATGATAGCAAATTGGTAAAAAATTATCATCAATATCAAGCAAGTTCCTGGGTGTTTGAATTAACATCACTTTCTGATTTTTTTTCTAAATTATGGTACACATTTGTACACAGTACTACTAAACATCATTTTCTGCAATAACTGGATTCAGTGTAATGCATATATATTGATTTGAGTTTATAAATAAAAAGATACTCAACTTTCCAATGTGAAATTAAATTACTAAATTGCATACTGAAAAGACAAAGACACATTATGAATGTTCTGCTTATCTGCTCTCTCATGACACTTATCCTTGTCTGAGAAATCACAAACCAACCACAAAAAAAAAGATATAAACAAAATAAGACAAAATAAAATGAATACACAAATAAATAAAACTAAATAAAAATAAATTACTTTTAAATATTTGTCTGGTAGGTTTCATAAATGATGTCATAACGTGGAATGATTAAAAAAAAAGAAGGAAAAGAAAAGAAAGAAAGAAAGAAGACATTCCCAACTTGCAGTAGACAACTAGGAACAAACTTCCCTAGTGATCCCAAGTATTCAGCATCTCAAAAGGATACTAACAGTTACTGTTATCAGGAATAACAAAAATGCAAGTAATGGGCATTCAGAATACAACACCAGAAGGAAAGAATTTGGGTATAGATATATACACTGAAATATTTCACTGAAATATTTACTGTGAAATACATTATGTGTCTAATGATTACGATAGCAATAATGAGAAATTGCTCATCAATGTAATTCACTGGATGACACTTCTTTGATCTGAAACCTTTGCAATCAAGTCACCATTTGAGATTTAAACCCAAGGCAACAGGCATTTGCAATCAAGTCACCATTTGAGATTTAAACCCAAGGCAACAGGCATGACATGTACATACATGCCATGCCCACTTTGAGTTTACTTTATTCATTGTTTTTACACACAGATGGCTCCACTTGTACTAAGGCACCAATGAGCCAATTATGAGTACTACTTGTCTCACTTATTTAATCTTTTCCTTGATTTTCAAAAATATTTTATGTTTTCTCGTATAATAAAGAGTATAATGTCTATAATAAAAACATATTGATAGCAATAGTAAAAATAAACTTTTCCTGCAAATTCAAGGAAAGGTGAAATCAGGTAAGGTCACAAGGTCTACTAATTGACTCCTTTGCGGCTAAGCACTAGCTGAGCCATCTATGTGCAGAGACATTTTACCAAAAAAATCTAAAATGAGCACAGTATTTTTCTGGGGATGTTAGGTTAAGGATCAATGTCAAACATCTAGAGATAATGGGCAGACTAAGCTTTCAGGTTTGATTCTCCTTCATATCATGCCTGCGTTTTTTTCTTTATTGTCAGTTACTCTTTGCCATAAATATAATTTCAGCATATATTGCAGGACATGATGTTAGGCAAAATTTTTCCTTTGCTAATACACAGTTTGAGACAAAGAAGAAATCACCAAAGAAATATATTGTTGTGTATATATAAATATACATACCAACATACTATATAACATATCTTGAAACAATAACCTCGTATTGATAACAAACACATTGCTAATCCAAGAGTATTCCGAATCCTCTAACTGAATAACCAGGTAAATCTTACCAGAACGCCCTAAGTGTCTAATCATGCCATATGTGCCTTTCTGTACATTATAAAAGCCTACATCCTCCATTATTTATTCTGGCAATATGTAGTTTGTGGACCTCTCTGACAATTCGTCTTGGTGAAACAAGGCCAAGGTCTCTCTTGCCAGAGTACCATTCGGCATGGCAGCTACAGCATGCATTTGATGTTAAACCATTATCAAATTTGGTTGCAGGGTTTCTATCCAATATCAAAGCAAAATGTAATTGGATTTAGAAAGAATGTAGCA